TAAACGGGGCCTAAGGATATTAATAACATTTCTTGTGATGATATTAATCTGAGAAGAAAACAATGTTTATTTTAGTTGTCCTCTTAGGCTCCGTTTGGTTGGCAAGATAAGATTAAATAATATAATAAAATCCAATTGTTTATTGGAGCTCGCGGCGTCTAATAAAAAAAAAATCCAATCACTAGAAGGTAATATAAGCCAAGATAAGGCAATATAAGCCATGATTATATAATTTTGGGGGTCGACCCGACAATTTATTAGGAATATCAAATATCAAATTAAGTCCAACTGTTAATCATGACTTACTTGACAACCAAACGGGTTATATTATTAGATTTATTTTGATAATATACTGTTTTTTGTGTGATAAGTGATAATCTAACCCAAGTTAAATCAATGTATGTAATCGAATGGTTTTGGAAACAAAATTACGGTCTTGTGTAAGAAAGTATTAAGGTCTTGTATTTAGCAGCCATTCATATAAGCGTGCAGAAGAAGCAGAGAAGCGAGGCGAGGGTTGTGGAGAAGAAGAAAAAAATCCGAAAATGCAAAGGCAACTGTGCGTGAAGTTACTATCTAAAATCTCAGGAAAAACCAATTCGATTTCCCCAAATTCCATCTTCGCACCATTTTATCACCACTCCACCCTTCCGCATTGCCATATATGGAAATCCTACTACAGCCACAATGGAGTTTCGGCGATGATTCGAAATGGATTCCACTCGGGCTCAGCTCTTTCCAGAATTTCTTTTGCAAATTGGCGATCCAAAATTCCTGTTAATCGTACATATAAAATCCACACCAGAAGTTTTTTCCGATCGTTTGATTCACAGTACGGTGGCTGGTAATTTCTCTTACTCTGTCTTTACGCTTATTTTGATGCGGTTAGGGTTTTTCACTGTTTCAATTCTGATGGAAATTTTCGATTCTTGTTGGCGTGAAAATTAAGCAAGCAAATTCCTTTTCCTTTGTTGAACGGGTCCGTTGAATTACTGGAATATATCTTTGTTTGATTGGGAGTTTGCTGAAAAAAGAAAAATCATCTAGTAACATTTGGTTGATTGATGAGAAGTATATGGTAATGTGTGTGCTTTAGTACCTACGTTTCAGTTAGTCGTTTGATGAAGGAGCATTATATGTGTAGCTTACATTTCGGCGTTCAATTTTAGGGATCTTTTGCACGAACACCAAAAGTGCGTGCGATATAAGCTGGACTTGTTCAATCCATATGTACCCATGGGAGCACTTATGGACATAAAATCCTTTGACAACTACAAACATAACTGATATTGTCGCTATGTTAAGAGCGAAATTCAGCTAAATGCTACAGCACTTAGGAAATATACGCGAAGGTCATCGTAGAGATAGACTGTAGATTCTGAAATAGTATGTGTGCTTGTTGAAATGGTTAAGTATGGAACATTTTTTTTTTATGTGTAGGTAATTCAAAAATCTTTCAAGACAACTAGTGGCTTTAGACTTGAGATAGTTGCTTTCTGTAAAATTGTTTAAAATTGTGTGATTGTCTGTGTATTTGTTGAGCGCCTTTTGCAATTTAGTCGAAAGAATCACTTCGTTTTATGAATTTTTTTTATGGTACTGATATCTTGTTTTAGTTTGAGATTTTACGGATATATAATTAAATGTGCATTACATGTTTAGAACTGGGGTGGGCTTTCTTGAGCTAAAGAATTAATATATTATTAGTTTAGCCATAAATCTAGATGCTGGACACTAAAAAATCAGATGACTATGCTGTGAGGTTCGAGGTAATAAAAGTTCTTAATGTAAAACGTAATACCTTTAGACATCCGATCCAAGTGGTAAAAATCTTCTGCAAACAAAGATATCTGTTCATTGAAAACTTCGATCAAGAAATATTCTTGCATGCTTCGTGTTTGCTTCCTACATTTATTTATCAACTTTGACAACTATTTGTCGGTGCGAGCACTCAGTGGAAACTTATACCTTTGCATGTTCGATAGGCTCTAAGATCGAACTGTAGCTACGTCATTGTTTGAATTTCATTTCCTTTACACCTTTCTTTCTTGTTATTCATCTACATTGACCATGATCCAATCTTGTCGTAGTAGCCTTGTTGGAGTGGCTTGTACAGGTTAATGTTAATGAACGGGTTAAACTTCGTAGCTATATTATACATTTGTTAAACATAATGAAGGTTTAAAGTGCACAAATATTCATTGATATACGAGAAAATGTGGAATCGAAGTATCTTTTTTGAGGTTACTAACTTTCTTTCATAATTCATTTAAGAGGGCTGTCTTTAAATAGATGTCCCAGGTTGCGATACATATCCTACGACTTAGTATACTGTAGGAGTTTTGGATTTTAAGCTATATTTATGTCTTCTATGACAGTGTTGCTCGTGGATGGGGGGTTAGTATTTCTAGGTTATTTAATATAAACATGACACGTCAGCATACGATGAAGCATTCCAGGATATATTGATTCATGCTGAGCAGTGTTTATTCGTAGTTCTTGGATGAGTAAATATTTGGCTTGAACTATGTGTTGTATATTTCTCGGTATCCTAAGAAGAAATGTTCAGTAAAATTCTATGTGATATATATTAATGTAACGTGAGCAGATAAATGTCGAAGGTTTTGTTTGATTACTCCCCTTTCCGTTACGATTGATGTGCCCAACCGGTATCTGAAATAAATCTTAGATTTGTTACCATAAACTAATTTAGTCTTCGTTTCTCTTTCTAGGAGATCAAATTTTAGAAGGCTTACAACTGACGGAGTTGTGTTAGGCTTGATTGTTACGAACGTCGCTGTTTTCCTATTATGGAGAATTGCAAGACCACAGTTTATGGTCAACAATTTCATGGTAAGTTTTTCATTACATTTCAATTATAACGAAGCTGTACAAACTATGTTGCCTCTATTTTTTATAATTAATTTATTTATTTTCTGCTCAGATTTCTGTAGACAATTTTACAAGTGGACGGATCCACACATTGATAACCTCTGCATTCAGTCATACAGACATGTGGCATCTTATTTCGAATATGGTCGGACTATACTTTTTCGGAACAAGTGTAAGATAATTTTCTATACAAATCTGTTGCTTATGTAATATTTTATTGTATGGAGAATTTTAGTAACAGGTTGTAATTTCCGCTAAGTGCTAACTCCAATTTTTATTGCAGATAGGAAGGGGTTTTGGACCTGAATATTTGCTGAAATTGTATCTATCGGGAGCAATTGCCGGCTCGATATTTTATTTGGCATATCATGCTCTCATAGCTCCATTATTCCAGGTAATTTTCAAATCCAATTTCTTTTTAAAACAAACTTCGGATTATAACTCATTTTGAATTTTAATTTCGTGTACAATTGGTAATGATCCTTTTTATGCATTCTTTTTCTACTTTGAAAATCGGGATTATGATTCCTAATAACATTTTCTTTACATAACTTAACTTACGACAGATAGTCTGATAGAATTTGCTTCATATTATGTTAGGTATATTGAACTCGTGTAACCAAAAAATACTGTGGACGTACATTTAGCAATACACTTTACGTGATTTTTTTCCTACTGTTTTGCAACTGCTGTGGTTTATTTAATGGGACTTCGACATAATTATTAATTTATATTGATTGCCGTGTTTTGTTTATGTGCAGAGCAATCAAATGCTATTTACCGACCATTCAAAAATTCCAGGACTTGTAAGCGCTGCCAATCCATTTTTCTATTTAATCATTATATTATGCTGTGAATATATCCCCCCACCACACCCAACTCGCACGGATACGCACACACACACACACACATTCACGTAAACGTGAAAATAAAAAATATAAGTGATATTTTTTTACAATTTGTCCCTCCTTCCGTATGTATGTAATCTAGTGAAGTATGACATCAGCGTATAGAATTTTGTTTTGAGTAACAAAAGATTATGTCCGTAATTCTAGGGTGCAAGCGGAGCTGTGAATGCGATAATGTTGCTTGATATTTTTCTGTTTCCATCGAAGACCCTCTATCTCGACTTTATAATACCAGTTCCTGCTATTTTACTGGTAAGGTTTTCGTTACATCCATCTAAATTCTACAAAAAATATATAATGAAAGAAAAAATGTCGATTATCGATGCTTTGCTTATTATTTGCCAGGGAGTCTTTATTATTGGAAAAGATATCTTGAGGTTATTGGAGGTATATGCTGATTTGATTACTATTATTATTATTTTATTTTATTTTTCTATAATATCACCACTTCAATTTGTATTATCTTTTGGGTTTGTTTGGTATATCAGGGAGATCAGCAAGTTTCAGGATCTGCTCATTTGGGTGGAGCTACAGTTGCTGCCTTAGCATGGGCACACAGTAAGAGGGGACGTTTTCGACGATTTTAAATATTTATTTAAGCTTTTTCGGAATATTCCAAAGGGTTTTTAGGTTGTTTGATATCTATTAATATTCACTAATTGCATCTCATCTCAATTGAAACTGTGACGGCTTTGTTTGCTTCTCTTCAGTTCTTATATAAAGTTAAACCTCTAGATTAATACAATGGGACTAGTAAAATTTTATTAATTTAACGAAATATTAAATTATCGAACTAATAATTTAGTGGATTTTTATCGAGTCGAAACCAGAAGAAACTCTTATTTAATACAGTTTATTAATTTATTGAAGTTCTAATGTAGCCATTGTCTGATACGAAACATCATTTAACTGAAGAAATTGTTGTTTATTTGTGTAGTGTTTTTATTATTATTATTTTGTTTTTTGATAAATCACTTAAATGAAGATTTTACCATTCAGTTTCTCTCTCAACCAGACTGTAGATTCATTCACATTGTATACTGTAATGAATTAATGAAGTATGTAAGAAAATATTTAACGGTCACAAAAGTAACATTTTCAAAGTTCAAGTACGAACTTGCTCATTGGTGTGCATCTATCTTAAACTGACATAAAGAAATAAATAGAGGCAGTTGAAAAGAAACGATAAATTAATACAGTCAGTACTAGCAAAATTATATTAATTTAGCGAAACATTAGATTATCGAACTAATAAATTAATGGGTTTTTATTTTTTACTAAGTCAGAACCAGAAGAAACTATTATTTACACAAGTTTATTAATTTATCAATGTTCTAATGGAGTCATTGTCAGATACAAAACGTCATGTAACTGAAGATATTGTTTTTTTCCTTTTTCTAGGCCTTTTTTTTTTTGAGAAAAATCACTTACACTATTATGAATTATAACAAACACACTTACACCTATACACTTCCAGTAGAAAAAAATAATGAATTATAACAAACAGATAAAACAAGTATAAATCTCGGCACTTTTCTACTCATTCATCTTATGTTATCCTTGCTAATAAATGGAGTCGAAAATATTGATCATCAGATAAAAAACAATACTCCATAACTCTATTATAAATTCACACTAGATAATCGCCATAGCAAAACAGTATAACCAATAATCTTCCATTAGCATTGAGAAAAGCAAGAAGTAACTGCTTCATTCGAATGTTCCGAGCCAGCAGCTATTGACAAGCTCGATTTAGGACAAGAAAAAGGATATTGTATTACAATTTGCAATGTCTGAAGCAATTAAGGATAAAAGATATTGTCGGCCCCAAATTCAAAGGGAAACCTAAACGAACACCGGTAACCAACATTTACTTGCTGCCGTCTCCAAAAAGATACCCAAGGGAGGATCCACCTCCTGGTGCAGCATGGACCTTCGTCGATGGTCGATCCTGTCATACATTTTTTACCATTTTATCATTTAAAAAAAAAAACGAAGTGTAGAATGACACTGGTGAAAAAGGACTACCCATTTGCTTCGTAATTAAATATATATAAGGACGAACAAAGAACCAACACATCATTACAGATCCTATGGGTGTGATCAAGATCCATTATACACTAAAAAAGTCCAATAAGAAAAAGCAAAACTGATAAAGTAAGTAATCCCATCAAACGAAACACAAGAACCGAAACAATGGAATATTTACTAGTGTAAACAAGCTCGAATAGAAATGATCAACAAGTGTAAACATTCTCCTATTTTCCGCCTTCCATTAAACATGAATACATACACACAAATCGGCACCGCCATCATATCGATATAAACTATAATACAGGTAGTGCAAAAAACAATCGATACAATCTTAAAGAATGTTATCTAGCAGTGTTATACGGCCATCAAAACAAACCTAAATAACCACTGAGTACAAAAAATGAATCATACGAAGCAAGTAACCACAAACCTTTTAGATAATAAAGAACTCCTAATAGCAAATTGCATTCGGAGGATATATATATTCGACAACAACAGAAGCTACATTATAATACGATAACAAAAACAGATAGATAAGGAAAAATACCGTGAGGAAGTTGCCAGTGTTCTGGCCATCAGCTCGGAGATAGTTATTCTTTTGGCTGCCCTGGATGCCAGCTGGAATCTGTTTAGTACCGTGAGGTGGCGCACCAGCAGATTGCTTCTCTGGAGCCGCCACTGCGGCCGCGTTCTGAGGCGGAGGAGGAGGTGCCGCCGCCTCCACATTCCTTGGAGCAGGTTTTGCTGCAGGAGCTTCGGGGCCTCCAAAAAGGTACCCCAGTGAACTCTGACCACCACCGCTGCTAACTCCACGACCCATTTTCTCCTCAGATTCTCTTGTGCTCAACTTCTGTGATCGTACAACGCTTTTAATCAAGAAACTCTCATACAATTATATCCGATTTTTCACAAAATATACAAAAAATATCCACAGAGAAATTGAAATGGTTTTACTTAGGTTGTTTACCAGATACACGTATGTGTCTACTTCTATGTGTTACAATGACACATAGGAAACGGACGGAATTAATCGGAATCCAATCCAAAAAATGTATGTACTTCTGGTTCGAAAATTTAAGGGTTCAATTCATTGATACCAAAACTAACTTGAGATAATTAGTCTCTAATAACCCTAATTTGAAATAATTGTTTTGGTTCTCTTCTCTCCGCTACTCTTTCCCACAGTGAACAAGTTAAACGATTTTCTCCCAAATGTCGAAAAGATTTGCATTTTTTTATCAGATTAACTATTAATTGCACGGATCCAAAAACAGTAGAGAAGAATTAAGATATTCACAAACAACAAATGCGAAAAACAGCAATTAAAGGCCACATCCATCAGCATTAAAAAGAGAGGAAAAAAAAACGAAATGATCGGGTGCTATCGCCATAAATTTTGTTTGCACAGAACAATCGTAACACAAATCGGTAAATCTGGAAATAAAAACAAAAACAACAGTCGAAACAAACAGGAATTATACTGAGAAGAGTTGAGGAGCAGAATAAACAAAGAGAGAAACGGAGAATACATGAGAGAGAGAGAGAGAGAGAGAGAGACCTGTGTCGAAATCAGATCTGCGGGAGAGAGAAGGTAGGAGGAGCGAGAAAGACAGCAGTGAAACGCCTAAAAGTGAAGAAGAAGAAGATATTTGAATATATTCCCGTGAGGGCAAATGATGTTGAATCAAAAACACAAAGGGACAATATATTTAATCTTGCACCAAATAAAATATGGGCAAATGGCAAAAAGGTCCATCACATGGGACTTAAATGCATTTTGGTCAAAAAAAAAACAGTCTCTCAATTAAGCTCATCCCCATGTCTTTAGTCTAAAATACCCTCAATAATATAATTTTTATCAATTCCACCAATTATGCTATAATTTCCTTAATATTACACATTGACCCCGGATTTAAACAAATATATCACATTAACCTCCAAAACTTTTTTTTTTTCAGAAAATAATTTTTTTTCTGAAATGCTTTTTTTCCGGCCAGATTTCGGCGTTGACTTTTTTTTTTTTTTTGAAATTTATTTTTTCCTGAAATATTTTTCCGGCCGGTCAACCACCATTGACCGCCGGTCTGCGACGTTGACTTTTTTTTTTTTGAATTGCTTTTCTTAGAAAAAAAATATTTTAATTAATATTACTGTCTTGGCTACTAAATTACTGTCTCAGACAGTAATATTACTGTTTGGGACAGTAATATTATGAATATTATTTTTCCGAATAGTAATATTATTAATATTATTGTCTAAGACAGGGAGACAGTAATTTAACATCCAAGGCATTAATATTAATTAAAATAATTTTTTTAAGGAAAAAAAAAAGTAAATTAACAGTTAAATTACTGTCTCCGACAGTTAAATAACTGCCGGAGACAGTAATTTAGCAACGAATACAGTAATATTAATTAAAATTTTTTTTTTTTAAGAATAAAAAAGTCAATTAACAGTTAAATTACTGTCTCCGACAGTTAAATAACTGCTGGAGACAGTAATTTAGCAACGAATACAGTAATATTAATTAAAATATTTTTGAAGAAAAAAAAAATAAAAAGAGTCAATTAACAGTTAAATTACTGTCTCCGACAGTTAAATAACTGCCGGAGACAGTAATTTAGCATCCAAGACAGTAATATTAATTAAAATATTTTTTTGAAGAAAAAACAAAATTATAAAAAAAAAGAAAAAAAAAATCAACGCCGGAGACCCGGCGGTCAACGGCAGTTGACCGGCCGGAAAAAAAATTCAGGATAAAAAAAAAAAAAAAAAAAAAGGCGGCGACCGGCAGTCTCTGGTGGTGGCGGGTCAAAATTGGGGTCAAAATTGAAATTAGGGTTAAAATTGGTTAATTGATGAAATTTGGCTAAATTGGGGTGTAAATCATGAAATTGGAGTTAAATTGGGTTTCAATGAATTGGGGGTAATTTTGGTATATATAAATGGGTTTTCCTTATTTGCAAATAAGTTTGAATAGGCTGGATTTATTTGAAACACAAAAAAAATTGGATGTCCCTCTTTTAATTAAGTGCCCTTGTCATGGGCCTATTTGCCATTACCCCATAAAATATACACAAAGGGACAATATATTTAATCTTTATTATACGAGTGTAGTGTAGTTAGTGTAGACAATACATTTTTAATTACATAATTGAACCCGTAATTTGATGAAATTTGAATACTACGTTGGAGTGGCCAATTACCGTTTCTTTTAAACTTCAATACCACCACTATAAAAAATAGATAAAGACATTAATACTCTTAATAAAATCAATACCATACAACTTTTGTGTGTAGTTTTGATTTTTATTAAGGGTAATAATGTTATTATCTATTTTTTATCTATTTTTTTTTTATGTTGATGGTATTAAAGTAAGAAAAAAATGGTATTTATTTTAATCGCTTCTTACTATGTTTGCTAAGCTTCGCAAATAACTTACTCTTTTTTATTTTTTTAAATAATAAATATTTATTTTAAAAAAAATTCAATTCATTTTTAAAATTAATTTTTTTTTCTCTAAAAACTCTATGTTCAAACATGATTTATTGGTACATTAGAAAAATGTATTCAACTAAAATTGAAGTATAGGGATGGCAAATAAAATCCAATCCGTTAGCTATCCATAGATATCCGCTCTGTTTAAAACCCGCTACCGAAACTATTAGTGTTTGGCAGTGGTCGATCCACTGTGGTGCAAGGGTGTACAACTTCACACCCTTGATCTGTATAAAAAAAATATTACCTATATATTTACACATTACATATATAAGTTAAAATGTGATAAATGGTTAATTTGTTGTTGTAGCTGAGATGGTAAATGTCGCTTCCGATAATGACCAGAGTTTGAATCGCTTCCTTATTTATTAGTTTGAATCAAAAATACAAAGGGATGATATATTATTAATTTATTATAGGGGTTTTTGTGCATTAGTCCCCGACCAAGTATCTTTATTATTTTAGGGGTTATATCTCTTTCATCAATAAGCCCATCCCTTTAATATTTATTATAAATAAAGGAAACATTCATGATACGAACCCCGTTGAACTTGTTACGGGACCCAATAATCTTATGCGGAAGCAAGAACGGAACGTCCAAAATATAAATGATTCGATTGGCGGAATTCGGAATATTGACCCCGTAGCTATAGAGAGCTAGAAACCAATATTATCAAGGTGGAAGTATTGACCCCGTGATTATAATGAATCAGAAACCAATACTATAGTGCTAAGAATAATTCACAAGAATCCACTCGCAAAATATCCCGAAGAGTTGTTGAAGAACAACGAAGGAGAATTTTAATCTCTCAAAATAATACTTAAAAACGTCCAAATAATAATGACCCTAAAGCAACCTATTTATAAGTGTCAAAGAGACCTAATCTAACAAGGAAAATAAATCATAACTTATCTATTATAAGGAAATAACGTAATAAACTAAATCTAGTCCAAATAGGACTCTAAATAACAAGAAATAAATTGTCCAATAATTAAATACGAAAATTAATAATAATCATCTTTTCCAAGTCATGGCTTCTTGGCTGGATGACTAGACGGGCTCAAGTCCTTGAGCTCGGCTTGCTTCACAATCTGGCCCGATAATTCGCTCCAATTAAGCTCAGCTGGGATCGAACTAGACTTCGTCAATTCTTCATTTTGGAGCTCGTGTTCTACTAAGTTAAGCATGGCTGCTTCAATGCGCTTGGCCCGAGCTCGGGTAATCGGTCCTCTTGGCACATGCAGCTCGTCCAAGTCATCAACTCCTTCATCCAGCTCGTCACTACCTCGCGTAATTGGCTGGATCGTATCATCCTCCCCCTCTTGAAAATGATTCGTCCTCGAATCTGAACCTACATCAAACGGAGATAGGTCAGAAACATTAAATGTCGAACTAACTTGATACTCACTTGGAAGGTCGATCTTATAGGCATTATCGTTTATCTTTTCCAGCACTTGGAAAGGTCCATCTCCTCGTGGCTTAAGTTTTGAACTTCGCTGATTGGGAAACCTTTCCTTTCGAAAATGAACCCAAACCCAATCTCCTTGCTGAAAGGTAAGGTGCTTTCGCCCCTTATTAGCTCGGTTCGCAACTTGCTCATTCCTTTTCACAATGTGCTCGCGTGCTTCTTCATGGATTTTCTTCACTAACTCAGCCTTACGCTTCCCATCTAGACTAGAAATCTCATTAACAGGTAAAGGCAACAAATCCAAAGGAGTTAGCGGATTAAAACCATAAACAATCTCAAAAGGTGAAAACTTTGTAGAAGAATGCACCGATCTATTATACGCGAACTCAATAAAAGGAATACATTCCTCCCACGACTTTAGGTTTCTTTTAAGAACAGCTCGCAATAACATACCTAAAGTTCGATTAACCACCTCGGTTTGACCATCGGTTTGTGGATGACAAGTAGTAGAAAAGAGTAAAGTCGTACCTAACTTACCCCACAAAACACGCCAAAAATGACTAAGGAATTTAACGTCCCTATCACTAACAATAGTACGAGGTACCCCATGCAATCGCACTACTTCGCTAAAGAATAAATTCGCTACATGCGTAGCATCATCAGTTTTATGACATGGAATGAAGTGTGCCATTTTAGAAAAACGATCTACCACAACAAAAATAGCATCTCGACCTTTACTAGACCTCGGCAGCCCTAAAACAAAATCCATTGATACATCGGTCCAAGGGTGAGTAGGAACAGGTAATGGCATATATAATCCATGTGGTTTAACCCTAGATTTAGCTCGCCTACATGTTAGACACTTCGAACAAATCCTCTCAACATCTCGCTTCATACGCGGCCAAAAGAAATGTTCTTTTAAAATATCTAATGTTTTAGAAACACCAAAATGTCCCATTAAACCACCTCCATGTGATTCTCGCACAAGTAATTCATGAAGCGAACAATTAGGCATGCAAAGTTTGTTCTCCCTAAACAAATAATCATCATGCTTGTAGAATTTTTCAAAAGTTCCTTTTTGACATGCAGCAAATATAGTAGCAAAATCATGATCGTTCACGTACAGCTCCTTAACATGCTCAAAACCTAAGAATTTAGAACTAAGGGTCGACACGAGAACATACCTGCGAGATAGTGTATCAGCTACGACATTATATTTACCTTGTTTGTACTGTATCACAAAAGGAAACATCTCGATAAACTCCACCCACCGAGCATGTCTTCGGTTCAGCTTGCCTTGGCCCTTAAGATGCTTTAGCGACTCGTGATCTGTGTGTATTACGAATTCCTTAGACCACAAGTAATGTTGCCAAGTCTCCAAAGCTCGCACCAACGCGTAGAGCTCTTTGTCGTAGGTCGAGTATTTCAAGGCTGCGCCGTTGAGCTTCTCGCTGAAATAAGCGATAGGTCGCTTGTCTTGCATAAGCACTGCACCAATACCAATTCCAGAAGCATCACATTCGATTTCAAAAGTTTTAGAAAAGTCCGGTAAAAGTAATAAAGGAGCGGAACTTAGCTTATCTTTCAAAGTGCGAAATGCATTCTCTTGGGCCTCGCCCCACTTGAAGCCAACCTCCTTCTTGATCACCTCGGTCAAAGGTGCTGCAATTGTGCTGAAGTTCGGTATAAATCTCCTATAGAATCCCGCTAGGCCATGGAAGCTTCGCACCTCGGATGCGTTCTTGGGTGTTGGCCATT